CTCATTACGACGATCATAGCTCGCTGTTTTCTGTTCCTGTAAGACAAACCTGCAACCTCACCCTGACCCCACGGTGACCCCGGATGTTGTGTGCTATGTCATGCAGTTAGAAGTAGGTTGGAGGCTATACTTTACTTTTACCTCTTTTCCTTTTACACACATATTTATCCATCTATTTATCTTTATATTGTATATGTTGTATACTCTGACCCCGGTCAAAATGAAGATTATAACGGTTTGGGACACTAGAGAATCTCCCAAAAATTATTATAGTTAGTTAATGTTTTGATGATTCATATTAGAGGAGCATTAAGAATGTTTTTGGTCTATTTTGAACCCTACCTGCAATGTTTATTCCAAGAAATTGATAACGTGGGCTGAGAACCTATTTTTCCCAAAGACGAGAGTTCTCCACTGTTTTGAAAGCTTCATTTTCACTGGCAGTATATCTCTTCTTCTCTGAAGTATAGTACTTACCTTATGTGTCTATCTGTAAATACAGTCTACTAGCAAGCATCCCTAGCTACGAACTATTCCTTTACCTTTCTTTAATCGTTGCTAGCACTACGTGTATCACAATTCGAGACATTATTTTTATTATTTCAGCTCCTTGCCACCAGACATTTCTTTGCATTATAATATACTCCCCTTTCCTTTTTATTCATTCACCCTCCTGTTGATGAAACTCTTGCAAACAAATGTATGGTACTCTAGCTTTGTAATATATTATAGTGTTTATGTGATGGCTACAAATAATATGTTACAGGAGTGATACCAACAAGAGTGAATAGTACTAGAAGGATACACTGAAAAGACACAAAGAATGACGTTTCTTTTTATCTGAACACAAGAAACACATCGCTGAGTATAGCATCGAGTAAACATTTTACAAAGCAGTGTGCAGGAAATGGTTCCACCTGTGGGAAGATTAGTAAAGTTTACAGGTAAACGTTACAGGAAAGTATCACAAAGGACAAATCAAGACAATAGAAACGCACACAAATATTATACTAGAAGTAGTGAACCATTTGAGTCAACATTGTGCTTATCTGCCCGTTTAAGTGATATTTTATTGAAAAGGAACTTACTTTTTCAGCTATTAAATAATCAATACTGAACAACATTATGTTTGTTAGAGCTTGGCATGTTTTTGGATAAGTCATTGATTAGTATGGTTAGCTTTCAGCTCTCCTCGAATACGTGACCCATGGCAACATTTTGTGACATACAAAATACTTACATTTTGTAGCATTGTCTGCAATCTCTGTGTGCCTTGTTCCACTCCGCTCCTCCCGTATGGTGGTGTAGTCTGTCCGAAAGTGGCAGATTTACTTCTTGTTTCCTTTACTGTTGTATATCTTAAACAAAAATATTATTCATATATCAATTTATGTTTCCTCTAACAAAGTATAAACGCTAAAATATTTTGACAACGATATATTTTTTTTCTTTTATCAAATTAATAGCTTGTTTTCACTTGGGGCATTGAACATCACTTCTCAGACTTTAGAAAGCACAAACGTAACACACATTAATATTCTTTCAAATCCATTCTCTTTTTGATCACGAGTCGACCCTCTTACACGGTCTTTTCCACCCGACGACTGACTATTTGAAATACAATAACTCATTATGTTCATGATTAGGAAAGTGATATGAAGTCCTCGATCAATGACACAGCCATAAGACAATAAACACGAAAATGGACATTAGCAGTCATAGTCTATTCCCCTGTCCATGAAATCGTACGTTAATACAACTGCAAATTATACCAGGTGGAAGTTAAGTACATGTATAGGGAGAAGACAACCACATTCAGTATTTTCAAAAGCACTTATGCATCACTTTATTTTCGCTGCAATGTTAACATATTATTGTTTCAACTATCTCCCGCTTCCCTGGACACAATGTAGACTATTTAGAAGACAGGCTGTGTCTACCGAGCCTGACTAGGGCAGCCCGGGTCATATTATTATGGTGTACATTCTACCAGGAACATTGGAGTACTCCCCAAGACGTCTTCTCTGTATGAAAATCAAACCCTTTTTTTTCATATTAGGCGAAGAACCTAACCATTAGTGAATATATAAATGCCTTGTCCACAAGTGAAAGAAATGCATGTCTTTGTAAATTGTGTTCAATGCGGAGAACTTGGTATTGATATCTTTGCATTCACTGTTTTCTTCTTTGAGCGTGACTAATTCTTAATGCCATTAACACGTCTGTGTTCTCAAAGTCTCTAATAAATGCGCATGTCGGAAGGCTTCCTATCGTCTTCCGAGGGAGCCATACTGTTTTGTGGAATGCCGAACACTTGATTTCTTGCGCACCACGTACCTTGTACCTTATACCTCTTGAAGCGAATGCTGATCGCTTCGACTTTCGCACCCGATATAATAATATTTATTATCTGCTCACGGTGTGCCAACTCTCATGTTGAAGTGTGTTTCTCATGTGGATTGTAAACTTTGAATATGAAATGATTTCGAAATTACTACTTGTTAGTCTCTTCATTTGCATAGTAGTCAGGCTATCTGAAAAGTGCTGAAGATGTTTGGGTAAAGTGATTTGTTTGAAAAATAAAAACCCCTCTAAAAACAGCAGTTTTCTAGTTAAATTCACAATTTTAGGCTTTATGTTTCTTCCTTTAGAGGCTTGGTACTAGGGTTATAGATATAAACAGAGATTTCAAAACCAGAAAAGGCTTTATTATAAATATATACGTCTGTCAGTCATCCTTGGCACTTGATGGTGACTGGTCTAGTATCATACCTTCACCACTTAAAATATAAATTAAAAATGTAGTTGACGTACCAGTCCCCCCCCCCCCCTGGCAAAAGCAAACGTGAACACAGCAACAATTTGATTAAATTAATACCAGATGTGAGCTAAATGTGAAAAAAGAGACAACTTACGTCTCGCTGTGTTTTCACTAGGGGTGGTGTTAATATTTTGGTGGTTTTTTTTTACTATCTCACGCCCTCATCGACCCACTGTAGACTATTAAGAAGGCGGGATGTGTCGAACCACCCTGACAAAGGCAGCCCAGGTTGTATAGGGCACATCCCGCCAGAAAAATGGAGATACTCTTTAAGATGTCTTTCTCGGATGGGACTCTTTTATTTTTGCTTGTTTGTTTGTTTGGTTGAATAAAGAGAAGCACATCATCACAATAGTGGTGATTTAGGGCTGGGAATAAGTAAGACAGACGGACAAAACAACATATGAAAAGTAAAGAAGTATGACCTACCAGTAGCGCCCCTCAGCCACCCGCATAACGAATAGGAAACGTTCGTGTTCTCAAAGTCTCTAATAAATGCGCATGTCGGAAGGCTTCCTATCACCTTCCGAGGGAGCCATACTGTTTTGTGGAGTGTCGAACACTTGATTTCTTGCGCACCACGTACCTTGTACCTATTGAAGCGAGTTCTATTCGCTTCGACTTTCGCACCCGATATAATAATATTATTACCTTTCTCACAGTGTGCCAACTCTCAGTGGAAGTGTGTTTCTCATGTGGATTGTAAACTTTGAATGTGAAATGATTAAGTACTTACCTCTTAAAATGCTCTTTATATGCATAGTGTTCATGTCATTTCAAAAGTGCTGATGATCTTTTTAAGAATGTTTATTTGAAAATAGGTTTTCCTTGAAGTATGTATTTTCTAGCCAATTCCCATTCCTTCCTTTATGTTTCTTCCTTTAGAGATTTGATGTTTCGTTTAGAGCCATAAGCAGATATTTTAAAACCAGAAAAATATTTATCATAGACCAACAAAAAATGCGATTCTCAGCAATTCAGGACAATGGTCTAGTATTGTACCCTTACCACTATTTAACAAAGTTCTAAGTTATGCAAAACGTATTAGACAACGCAACAAGCTACGTTTAACACGTTGTCCAACCTCAGTACGACAGTTTAGACAAGGTTATGCTAAGAGTGAGTTGTTTTTAGAGATCATTTTCAGCGTGAAAATTGTTTGGCTTTTTGGCTTGCACTGTTCATTGCCATTGATTTAAAGACGCCATGAACAAAATTGACCGGAGTGCAGTTAACGACAATTTACAAAATATTGTATAATGAAGATTAGTAGATTCGTTTTTGGGAAGAAAATCCAACTGGTGAACCTGGAGGCAGATGGACAGAGTAAACGGAAAGGCAGAGCAACATTGATGCATATTGTTAAACGTTTTTTTCCCCTTTGTTTTATTAGCAGGAAGGATGGTTATCTTAAGACATTTCCTAATGTTATACGATAAATCTGGTTACAGTTAAATATACAGTATCACGTTGAATGAAGGACAACAAACATTCCAGCCATTCATATTTTAGCCAATTGTCCCCCCCCCCCTAAAAAAAAAAGTTGACCCCCCACTTTTCCTCCTTATTTCTCTTCGTCCTGTCATAGTAGATGACAAAAAGAAATTTGTTGATTTCCCGGATATATATAGTTGACACGTTGTTAAGTAGCTTTCTGGTGGCAATATTGACATACAGATGGTGGTCACTATTAAGGTAGACTAATATCAGATTTTGTTTTAAGTGTAACTACATTGAACAATTGACCAGCATTCACGAACTGTACTGAAAACGTCTTCCAATCAACTAAAATTTACATTAAATGTGATAATGTTGCCTTTTTTTTTACAAAAAGATTTCTTTCTTTGTATATTTCCCATATTATGTTGAGTATTCCTTTACGTTTAAGAAACCGAAGTGAACCTATTGTATTCAGGACATATGCAACAAAATTCAGAAAAAGAGGTCAAATAAATATTAATTTCTGTCCTTTAAATATATGGCACCAAACGAATCTATATTTTTTTGCTCTTTAATTTAAAAAAAGTAAACTGCAAACACAATAAAAAGAAAGCACAACGGACAGCAATACCTGTGGACAGGATTACAAGTGGAAAGAATTATCGGTTGAAAAAATTACCGACGGAAAAAAAACACCGATGGAAAGAAATGACGCGTTGTTTTCCCTTTTTCTTCACAGGCTACGAATCGAAGCAGATCTCTATCGAAGCCTCACTGTTTGAGACGTTCAACTCGCAGCAGATGAGGGCGGAGTGTGTGCTCACCAGGGCAGGGGAGTGGGGGAAGGTCGCTTCGGATCTCATGGTACTCACTCTTTTTTGTTTGTTTTAGTAGAGGTTTTACGGCGCTTACAACTACAGGGTAGTGCACGACTTTTGGACACTCTTTATGTTTCGTCTATATCTTTATAATTAATTTATATCGGTCAGCAGCAAATAAATGTAAAGTTATTCTCACAAAAAGCGTAGATAAAAAATTCGACATATGATATCCAGAGTGCGCCCCCCCCCCTCTCTTGATTCTTTAATTCCCTACCACGTTCAATATTCACATTTTGTGGTACCAGCATCTGTGTATAGCGGTTTAGCACTACACCTTCGCATCCAGGAGACCTGATTCGATTCTCGTGTGAGGAGCATTTACTTGTATCTGTTGCGCAGAATCTAGGGAAAGGATTGTATACGGCCTATGTTGGCTAGAGGGTCAATGAAATAATATCTTTG